ACTATACCTCCTCCTTGAAAATATTCAATGTTTGGCCTCAGCCACTTTCTGTAGCAGAGAATTTCACAGTATTGCCACTTCCTAGGTTAATACATTTCTCTTAATTTCAGTCCTAAATAGCCTACCCTGTATCCTTAAACGGTGACCCTTGTTTCTGGACTTTCCGGTCATCAGGAACATCATCTTATGTTTATCCTGTCTAGTCCTGTTAGAATTTTATAGGTCTCTGAGGATCCCAAAACTCCCTTGTGTATAGTCCTAACTGATCCACTTTCTCTTCATATGTCTGTCTAGCTATCCCAGAAATCAGTTTGGTAACCTTTGTTGCACTCCCTTCTTAACCAGACATCCTTTCTTAGATAAGGAGACCAAAACTGTCTCACCAAGGACCAATTGCTCCTATCACTATGAAGGCCATCATATCATTTGTCTTCTTTATTGCCTACTGCATTCTTACATTCAGTGACTGTTATACAAGGACACACAGGTCTCATTGCACCTCCCCCTTTTCCAATCCATTGCGATTCAGATAATCTGCCTTCCTGTTTTTCCTGCCAAAGTGGACTTCTTTTTTGACATCAAAAACAAAGTTGCTGGGGTTCCTCCATTCTGAGGAAGGGTCACTGGACCCAAAACGTTAACTCTGTTTTTTCCTTCGCAGATGCTGCCAGACCTGCTGAGCTTTTCCAGCAACTTTGTTTTTGTTCCTGATTTACAGCATCCGCCGTTCTTTCGGTTTTTTTCTTTTTTGTGTTGACACGACTCCAGAGACAGTATGTTCCTGTTGGGGTGAAGGGCAAGGCTGGTAGGTGTAGGGAATGCTGGATGACTAGAGAAATTGAGGTTTTGGTCAAGTAAAGGAAGGAAGCATATGTCGGGTGTAGACAGCAGGGATCGAGTGAATCCCTAGAAGAGTGTAAAGGCAGTATGAGTATACTTAAGAGGGAAATCAGGAGGGCAAAAAGGGGACGTGACACTTTTGGCAAATAGGGTTAAGGAGAAACCAAAGGGATTCAACAAATACATTTAGGACAAAAGAGTAACGAGGGAGAGAATAGGGCCCCTAGAGATCAGCAAGGCCGCCTACATGTGGAACCCCTAGAGACGGGGGAAATACAAAACGAGTATTTTGCATAAGTGTTTACTGTGGAGAAGGATATGGAAGATAGAGAATGTGGGGAAGTAAATAATGACATCTTAAAAAATGTCCATATTACAGAGGAGGAGGTGCCAGATGTCGTAAAACACATAAAGATGGATAAATTCCCGGGACCTGATTCAGGTGTACCTTGGAACTCTGTGGGAAGCAAGAGAAGTGATTGCTGGGCCCCTTGTGGAGATATTCGTATCATCGATAGCCACAGGTGAGACGATAGCCAGGAGACTGGAGATTGGCTCATGTGGTGCCACTATTTAAGAAAGGTGGTAAGGAAAAGGCAGGGAACTATAGACCGGTGAGCCTGACATCATTAGTTGGCAAGTTGTTGGAGGGAGCCCTGAGGGACTGGATTTACGTGTATTTGGAAAGACAAGGTCTGATTAGGGATAGTCAACATGGCTTTGTGCGTGGGAAATCGTGTCTCACTAATTTGATAGAGTTTTTTTGAAGAAGAAGCGAAGAACGTTGAGGACAGAGGGGAGGACGTGCTTTATATGGACTTCAGTAAGGCGTTCAACAAGGTTCTTCATGGTAGACTGGTTAGCAAGGTTGGATCTCATGGAATACAGGGAGAACTAGCCATTTAGATACAGAACTGGCATGAAGGTAGAAGACAGAGGGTGGTGGTGGAGGGTTTCTTTTCAGATTGGAGGCCTGTGACCAGAGGTGTGCCACAAGGATTGGTGCTGGGTCTGCTGCTTTTCGTCATATATATGAATGACTTTGATATGAACATAGGAGATGTGGTTAGTAAGTTTGTAGATGACGCCAAAATTGGAGGTGTAGTGGACAGTGAAGTAGGTTACCTCAGAGCACAACGCGATCTTGATCAGCTGGACCAATGGGCTAAGGAGTGACAAATGGAGTTTAATTTAGATAAATGTGAAGTGATGCGTTTTGAAAGGCAAATCAGGGCAGGACTTATACACTTAATGGTAAGGTACTGGGAGTATTGCTGAATGAAGAGATCTTGGAGTGCCAGTTCATAGTTGCTTGAAAGTGGAGTCACAGGTAGACAGGGTAGTGAAGAAAGCTTTTGGTATGCTTGCCTTTATTGGTCACTGCATTGAGTAGTTGGGATGACATGTTGTGGCGGCACAGGACGTTGGTTAGGCCACTTTTGGAATACTGTGTGCAATTCTGGTCTCCCTGCTATAGGAAGGATATTGTTAAACTTGAAATGGTTCACAAAAGGTTTAGAAGGATGTAGCCAGGGTTGGAGGGTTTGAACTATAGGGAGAGACTGAATACGCTAGGGGTATTTTCCCTGGAGTGTTGAAGGCTGAGGGGTGATCTTATAGAGGTTTATAAAATCATGAGGAACATGGATAGGGTGAATAACCAACGTCTTTTCCTGGGAGTAGAGGAGTCCAAAACTAGAGGGCATAGGTTTAAGGTGAGAAGAGAAAGATTTAAAAGGAACCTGAGGGGCAACGTTTTCATGCAGAGTGTGGTGCGTGTGTGGAATGAGCTGTGAGAGAAAGTGGTGGATGCTGGTGCAATTACAACATTGAAAAGGCATCTGGATAGGTATGTGAATAGGAAGGGTTTGGAGGGATATGGGCCAAATACTGGCAAATGGGACTAGATTAATTTTAGGGTATCTGATCAGCATGGACGAGCTGAAGGGTCTGTTTCCATGCTGTACAACTCTGACTATAAGTGGATAACATCACATTTATCCACATTATACTGCATCTGCTGTGCATTTTTCCACACTCCAACTGTCCATATCACATTGAAGTTTTTCTGCATCTTTCTATAGTTCATCCTCCCACACAGCTTTGTGTCATCTGCAAACCTAGAGATATTAAGTTTAGTCCCCTCATTTAAGTCATGATTATATATTGTGAATAGTTGGGGTCCAAGCACTAATCCCTGTCGCATCCCACTAATCAGTGCCTGCTAATTGGAAAAAGACCTGTTTATTTGTTTCCTATCTGCCAACCAGTTCTCTATCTATGTCAGTATTCTACTTTCCAACCCCATGAGCTTTAATTTTATATGCTCATCTCTCTTATATGGGACCATATCGAACGACTTCTGAAAGTCCAAGTAAACCACATCCAATGGCTACCCTTTTTCAACTCCACTAGTTATATCCTCGAATAATTTCAGTAGACTTTTTCAGCATAGTTTCCCCTCATAAATCCTTGCTGCCTGTGTTGCTGTTTTCCAAGTGCGTTGCTGTTTAATCATCTATAATGGTGACTAGCATTTTCACTATGATTGATGTCAGGCTAACCAGTCTATAATTCCCTGGTTTCATCATTATCCACTTTTTTTTAAAAGAGTGGGATTACATCAGCTACTCTCCATCTGTAAGAAATGAACTGTCCCCAAGTCTATAGAGTTTTCAAACATGGCTACCAATGCATCCACTATTTCAAGAGCCACTTCTTCAAGTACTCTGGGATGCAGTTTTGGGACCTGGAGATTTTGTGGCTTTTAAACTCCTGTATTTCCCAAATGCCATTTTCATGTTAATACTGGTTTCCTTCCACACCTGCCTCTCACTGTATTCCCCAACATTTTTGGGATGTCCTTTGTGAAGGCAGAACCAAAATATGTTTTGCCCTCTCTTTGTTCCGTATTATTCACTTCCCCTGTTTCTGTTATAGACCTACATTTGTCTTGACTGAATGTTTTCTCTTGCATTCCTGTAGAAGGTTTTACAATCAACTGCTATCTTTCCTGCAGCTCGTACTCTATTCACCCTCTCAATCAATCCCATCGACTTCCTTTGCTGAAACCTAAACTGCATCCAGTACTCCGCCCTGCTGGTTTTTTTGGCCAATTCATATGCCCCTTCCTTGGTTGTAATACTATCCCTAAATGCCTTCATTAGCCATGGTCAGGCCAAATTTCCCATTTAATTTTTGTTTATAGAATTTTATTTTATATTATTGATGAATATTGTCCAAATCTTTTTGCATTTAGAAAAGGACTCTTCGGTATTTGAGGAGTTGCGAATGGTCATGAGTATTGTGCAATCATTAGTGGACGTCTCGATTTGTGATGGAGAGAATGTCATTGATGAAACAGCTGAAGATTCTTGAGCTCTTGTGGAACAGTGGTAATGTCCCGACCTCTGGGCCAGAAGGTCTGGGTTCAAGTCCTGCCTGGGTTCAAGTCCCACCTGCTCCAGAAGTATATCAAAAGATGTCTGAACAAATGATTAAAAATATCTACTGTGAGAAAGTTTTCTAATTATGTCCTGGAGCTGAGATGACTGACATTCAGCAACCGCAACCATCTTCCTTTCTGCTAGGTGTGATGTAAAATGCGGGATATATAAACATTACTTATTGTAAATTTGGATTTCTAGGTTTTGAGTTAAT